AAAAAAAAACAATAAAAAGAATTCAGGGTAAGGGAGAAGGGAAAGGAAGAAATGCGTAGAAATGAAAAAGAAAAAAATTCTCACTACTCTGCCAGCAAAACATTGAATAGTTGCTGCTTTCTGGCGAAAACAGAGGTGTGGAAACAACAGTGACAACTAACGTTTCTCCGGGTTTTTTGGAGACACCGTTTACTGTGCAACCAACATCTGGGTTGCCTATCGGTATTAATTTGACGCCCGGGGTTTCACGGCCTAGAATCACTGTGCCATTGCCACGTTCAGTACATCTGTAATTGTTATGAAAATCAGATTTTTAGTTAGCCAAAAGAAAAACCATGAAAATTGCACCCATCAGCTTTATGTATACAAAATTAACTATGTATATTTGCGATCAAATTTACAGAAAAGTATACACACACAACAAAGAAAAATGATGGTACAAAAAGAAAACTCTAAAGTGAGCGATTTTTCTTTTTCTGGATCTAAACTAGAAAACTCTAAATGATAATTATTCAAAAAACAAAAGATGGTATAAAAAAGGCTCTTCAAAAGATCTTCAAAAAATTCGACTTTCTGAAATGTATTTCAAAAAAAAATTTAGAAAAAACTGTTTTTATACTTTTATTGTCTTTTATTGAACAATTTTACCGTTCGTAATGCTAAAATAATTGAAAGAAAAATTTTTAACATTTTTTTGCGCGAAAAAAAGCCATATAATCGATAGCAGATTACAGAACAGCTGAGGTAAAATTGACTCAAATAATTTAGTAAGTTTGGGCAAAAAAAAAGAACAATAATACATACGTATATAGCACTCCGCTAAAAACGTCTTTGGAATTCAGTGGAACCGGTAAACCGTTATCTGTTATACAATTTGTTATTTTTGTTCCATTTTCAAAGCAAGTTTTATTAAAGTTGTTGTTCGAAACCCACGATTCACCTCAAATGCATTTTGGTAGTGTGTGTTAAGTTGTGTAAGTTTCTTCTTTGTTACCGGAAAAACAAATGTTCGTTCTTCCTGCCATTTATTTATACCTTGAACACAGTGTAGTCAAAACTATTATATTAAGACAAAGTAAGAAAAGAAAAAAGAAGAAAAAAACAAAAGAAATGAATGAAAGTAAAGAACAATTTTGTTTATCTCAGTTTCATACTCTTGACGACAGTATACTGTATCGCGACCGCGCCACTACAGTAACCACAGAGCACAAATGCAGCTAAAAACCGTTGCGCACACAGCCATAACGTATTGACCTCAAAATCGGAAATGCGACTGGCAATCCGTGTACAATTTCCATCTAACGAGACCGTTGACTCACCTGTGTGTGCGTGTGTTCGGTTATTTCTGCTTACCGCTTCCCCTCCTTCCCCTTCCTTCTTCTTTTCCTTCCCGTCCTCCTTTCTAGTCATTATCGTCTTCCTATTATCTCTCTTTTATCAACTCAACTACCCGGGATGAAATTTTAAATCAGCAAAAAAAGTTCAAAGGAGCACTTGTCTTCATTTCTTTAGCTCAGTTCTCTATAGTTGAAAAAGAAACGAATTGAGCGTCTACTTATAAAGTATAATAAAGATCAAAATTAAATCAAAGAATTAATTTTTCATTTTTTCTTGCCACCACTGATGTTAACTCTTCTTCTAGAAAAATATTAAGACTGCAAAACCTATAGCTTTCAACAACAACTTTTTTTTCTAAATTTTGCAAGAAAAAAAACTGCTGAACGACTAATAATTAAAATTTTTTGTCGTATCTGTTTTGCTTGGCTGCTGACGATGACAAACTCCAGACTCAATGAACCTAATTTTCCTTTTTTATTTATTGTTTCTTCAATTATTTTAACTTGTTTTTTTTTTTTTATTTTTAATATAGCTTTTTGAAAAACTACCATCAATAAATCCGATCAACGCAATTGGAATCTACACTTTTGTTTTCTTCTGAAGCGGTTTTTAGAACTAGTCTTAAAAAAAAAACAAACAAACAAGAAAATGAGACTATTTTAAAAAAGACTCGTCATTTCCATCTTAAAGGTGTACTTCTAAAAATCGCAAAATTTCGCAGTATTTCGGCGAATAGAAAGAAGTTTTTCTACTTCTGTCGTCTATATTTTTTCGCTTTTTAAACTTTGTGTTGTAAGTTTCTGTGGAACTAAGTACTCAGTAATCTGTGTACAGGTCGTTCAACCACTTAATCAGACAGCCAGTCGATTATTCCAACTAATCAATCGTTTTTTCTATCAAATGTAATCAGACAGAAGTAGTCGTTAACACTGGAAAAAAAGTAAGATGACTAAATAGACTGGAATATAACGAAAAATTTTGTTTTTAGTTTTTAAATTAAAGAACAAGATTTTAAAGTTTTAAAATTACAATTTTTTACGACATTATACGACGATTCCTGCTACATTTTTAGAAGAAAATGTAACGACAAATGCTGTTGTCTGTCTTAGCAATTTAAATGGTTAAGTTTTTTCTTTACTTAACATTGATAGGAACAACAGCGGCAACAGGTTTATAGAGCAATTCGCGATTAAGAAATGTTCAATTTGGGACACTTGTTCGTACTCAGGGAAATAAATTTAATTTAAAATGACAAAGAGATAGGTTCTCGTCTTCTTTTTACCCTTTTCTTAACAATCCAGTGAAATTAAGTTTCATTTGTAACGGTCGCCTCGTTGTGTCAATTTAGCCAAAAAAATGTCAAATAAATTAATGTTTTCTTTCATGTTTATGGCTGTCTTTTATTTCTTCCTGGTTACCGCTTTAACCCAACGCTGAATAACAAGTCTGATTTGTAACCTATTCAGGAGCAATACTGTGAAAAATACCAATTAGAATGATGTTTTCGGATTGTAAAAGAAATGGTGGAGCTTAAAAGAGCCATACCAAGACGGTGCCCTTCGCATCCAGTGATAATTACGGGTCGAAAAGTTCGTTGAATTTGTACAGTACCTGCCGCCGTACGAATACATTCGTATTTCTAAATTATTCAACACTGTTTTATTCAATATGTTGCAATAACTGTATTGAAAAAAAAACCTCAGAAGTGTTGATAATCAGTGTCATCGTGTGATTTGAAGGTGTAGCATAGAAAAACAACTGAGAATTTATCAACAGTTTTTTCATCAATAATGACAGACAATAAAACTGTGACGAACTGTCAGTTTTGTCACTTACTGTTCACCTATACTATTTTGCATCGTTTGAAATAGTTCTAATCTTTTTTAAAACACCTTTTGCAAACGTTTTTTTTTTGAACATTTGTTGCATAAATTTCTTTCTGCTTTTGATCTTCCATTTTTTTCCGCCTTCTCTCTTCGCTCTTCTGATGAATGCAGGTCTTTTCTTTTAGAATCATGAACGGCATTAAATGTGTCAATAATAATTGCAACACG